AGAGACTACGACCACACAAAAGGCCACACCATCTTGGTCTTCATACCTTCGGTAAAACACATAGTTTAATTGGAGGTATGAAGACCAAGATGGTGTGGTCTAAGTCTTCCTATCAACATGACCAAGTTGCGAAAGCAAGGTCAAACAACTTCTGTACAACGAAAGGAGACTGCGACCACACAAAAGGCCACACCATCTTGGTCTTCATACCTTTGATTATTTAACTAAAATTGCTAATGAATTATTATTCTATTTTCATGGATAATAACTGGACAGAGGCTTCAAAGACCATTAATATCGAGCACTTGATTACGATAATGACATAAGTGAATATATTCAAATATTAAACTTAATTTACTAACCAACAGACGTAGCTTTTGAGGAAACCGACTATTTAGATTTAGATAAAGTCTGTTTTTGAGGATCCCAGTAACGAAAACAAGATCAAACAACCTCAATTATACATGAAGGTGCACCAGCTCTCATAGAGAAGTCGGATTGCCTCATGAGGCTCACGAAGTGAAGCCCCACGAATGACGCGACTTGAACTCACACGATCCACACGGCCTTGGCAAGCTGTCGATCTGATCACACACAAATCCTGTGTCGTTAATTCTAGCTTCCGGCAACGCGATGTCATCACAGAAAGGTGACGAGATTGTGCACGACTGATGGCTTCGGGAACGAGAGAATAATTGGACTCGTCTCTTCCGAGTCCTGTGGGTGTAAACAGCCAAGCATCGGACGGAAAGCCTTGAAGGGGCATCCTCCTGATCGCCACGATCTATAGACTTAGTTCTTTCGGAAAATGGCGTACCTTCGGGTAACTTTCTTTAGAAGCGATTTGAGATGTTTTCACCTGATTTCTTTTAAGCTAGTAACGGGAATGATAGATACATTTTCCTACAATGCTATGACTAGGCCTTATTTTTAGGGGGACCTTCACTTCGAATGAAAGTGCATGAAGAAGAGATTGGTTGGTCGATCTGACCAGATGAGGACGGATGAATCTTGTTGTACTGCCGTCGTTTGGCTTTGATACGATATTCATGTTGACGCAATCCACGGGACTTCCTCCCTCGTTTCGGGTGAAAACGTGCCTTCGTCCATCAAATGATGGACATCGTCAGAGCTGGGTTTCATTCTCGTAAAAGTTCCACGTTAACACTAAAGCAAGAAGACCATCCGGCTCTATCTTACTTCTTAAATAGACTCAGTCGAGTCAAAAGATTAAAAATTAAAAATCAGGATAGATTGATATAGATTGGTTTGTTTAATTTTC